CTGTTTGCCTGTTTCTTCATCTGTAAAACAGGGATAATAACAGCACCTACCTCCCATTGTAAAGCACCTGGCACACAGTAAGTGCTATACAAATGTCAGCTCTTACTGTTGTTGTTGTTGTTGTTTGTCTGCTATAGAATGTCATTTTTGAAAACCTGTTTCCCTTTATACTTTCATCCAGGGTGTCCTTTAATTCATGTTGATTATTCTCATAAAAGTTTTGTAGAAACAAGAAACTGAGCATATAGGTTGGTACTTATTAACATTCTCTTAGTCTACATTAGAAGCTTTCCAAATAAATGTAGGAGTAATGCAAAGATGTTCCCTTCTTCCCACTATTATCTGATATAGTTCAAAAAATGCTAGCAATAACATTAACACACAAGAATGCAATGAAAGGCATAAAAACAGGCAAAGAGACAAACCTATTATTATTTGCTGACATCGTGTTTTACTTAGAAAATCCTAGGGAGAAGACTTATGAGGAAACAGAACCAGATCATCTCCTGAGGTTCTCTCTCTCTCTCTCTCTCTCTCTCCATATGTGTGTGTGCGTGTGTGTGTATACATGTATATGTATATGTATATATATGTATATGTATATGTATATGTATATGTATATGTATATGTATGTATATGTATATGTATATGTATATGTACATGTATGTATATGTATGTGTATATATAGAGAAAGAGAGAGATTATATAGATATATATTTCTAAGGCTCATACAGAAAATATGGCATACAAGAAACAATACTGTGTCTGGAGTCAGAGAACATGGGTTTGAATCTTTGCTCTAATACTAACTACCTGTGACCATGGTTAAGTCACCATACCTCCCTAGGGCTTATTTTCCTTATCTTTAAATGAAAGGGTTTGACTAGAAGATCTCTAAGGTTTCATCCAGCACCTATCAAAGAATAGGTATGAAAAATTGAACATTAAACTTCCATACAGTTTTGATTAAGTATAACTCACAGTTATTCCTTTTGCATTACATATATGGTGATGGTACATTAGTATGGAGAAGAGCTGACAACTCCATTCCAAAGACCAAGATGTGTATACAGTTCAGCATACAATCCAGTTTTCAGAGATGAGGGAAACTAACAAACCAACAATCACCATACTAATACAGAACAATATAATAGTGATGAAGTGTAGATTGGATTGGAGATTAGAGAGATAATCACTAGATTACAACACCTGTGATATTGGCTCCATCCCATCCTACCAGTTGTGCTATTAGAGCATCCATACTGGGCCTCCAGAGACTGTACCTGGGAGGACCTAAGCCACTCATCTCTGAATTCCTTGGGACCATGTTTCTTTGGAAGAAGTTTGGAAGAGGTATGAGTTTGGAGGAGGAAAAGATGATGTTTATTTAGGACATGTTGAATTTCAAATGTCTCTGGGACATTCTGAGATGTCCAATAGGCAGCTGGTGATGCCCAGAGAGTAGGGCTGGATATCTGTGAGTCATCTGCATAAATATGGGAACTGATGAGATCAGGAAGAGAAATTATGTAGACAGAGAAGAGGCCAAGAAAGAGCCCTGATTAGAACTGTCTTCCCTCTAGAGTACTAATTTTGATGATTTCAATAGCAGGAAAGCACACAATTCAAATACACTTAAATTTAAGCATATTAGAGAAAATGATCACATCCTCTAGCGTTGGAAGATGATATAGATAGACCTAGATCTAGATCTAGATCAACCTCATTCTTTTGTGATTAAAGGTCAATGTAGATTTCAGGAGAACTCATGAAACACCAAACCGAAATAACACAATGAACTAAGGGAAGAGAAACTAAAAATCTGTCAGGACTGTGGAGATACTTGCAGAAATAAGAACACTAGCAACAGATTCTCATAGCAGTAAGACAATTATCAGTATTAAAATCATATGCCACGAGTGTTATGTTTTACCATTCTAATACTTAACATCAGAAGTTAGTTTTTATCCTTTACGGAGTTTTTTTATAACCTTAGTTTACAGAAAGACTATTTCCTAGTAGGGTAACTCAGTCAGTCAATAAACATTTATAAGGCACTTACTATGTGCCAGGCATGGTGCTAAGTGCTGGAATACAAAAAGAGGCAAAAGACAAGTCTCTGTCTGGCCTCAAGGAGCTCAAAATCTAATGGGGGAAGACAATAAGCAAAGAAATATGTACAAAGCTCTGCGAAGGATCAGGATAAATAGGAAATAATTAAAAGAAGACATGCATTAGAATTAAGAGGGGTTGGGAAAAGCTTCCTGTAAAAGACAGGATTTGGAGAAAGAGTATTTTGGGCACAAGAACAGCCAGAGAAAATGCCCAGAGCCAGGAGATGCAGTATTTTGTTCCTAGAACAGCCAGGAGGTCAGTGTCACTGAACTGAAGAATATTTGTTGAGGGAGTAAGGTATAAAAAGACTGGAAAGGTAGGAGGGGGCTAGGTTATAAAGGGCTTTGAGCATTTTGTATTTGCTCCTGGAAGGACTAGAGTTTACTGAGTAGGGCAAGTGATGTGGTCAGACCTGAGCTTTAGGAAAATTACTTTGGTGGCTGAATGGACAATGGATTGGAGTGGGGACAGACTTCAGGCAAGCAGACCCATTAGTAGCCTACTGCAATAGTCCAGGCATGGAATGATAAGGGTCTGCACCAGAGTGGTAGCAGTGTCAGAGGAGAAATAGAGGCATATTCAAGAAATATACAGATATACCTATATAGAGAGATATAAAGAGAGATTAAAAAGGGAAATCGACAGGCTTTGGTAATAGTTTGGATATGGAAGGTGACAGGCAGGGGGGGTTGAGAATGGCACATAGGTTGCATGCCTGAGGGCCTGAGAGGATGATGTTGCCTTCTACAACAACAGGGAAAACAGAGAGGAGGGGGAAGGGATTTAGAGGAATTTAGAAGAGTGAGAGGAAAAGATAGTGAGCTCTGCTGGGGACATGTTGAGTTTAAGATCTCTTCTGGGCATCCAGTTTGAGTCTGAAAAGCAAATAGAGATGCAAGATAGGAAGTCAGCAGAGACGTTAAGGCAGGATAGGCAGATTTGAGAACTGTCCACATAGAGATGGTAATTAAATCCATGGGAGCTGAGAGATTCACTGAGTGAAGCAATGTAGAGGAAGAAGAGAAGGGGACTCAAGGGAGAACCCTGATGGACACCCAGGGCTACAGGACATGATCTGGAAGAAGGTCCAGCAAAGGAGACTGAGAAGGAATGCTTAGACAACCTAGAAAGTATCAATGAGGAGAGAGTGATCAACAATGTCAAAGGTTACAGAGAGGTAGAAGACACTGAGGATGAAGAAAAGTATAATTAGGTAATCACTGGTAACTTGAGAGAGCAGTTTCAATGGAATAATGAGGTTAGAAGCCACAGGTTAAGAAGAAAATATTTCTCAAACCTCATACCTGTATTGGAAATTTCATTAACTTCCAAAGAAATCACCAATTTAAATTTTAGCAGTCTCCTAAGGACCACCATTTCCTGACTCCAGAATAGCTACAAGTTTTACCCATGTCCTAGAAATTTACAATTAAATCCGCCACACATTTCTACAAAATATTTACAAATTATATAAAATTAAAGTACATAACAAAGCACCAGATTCTACTCAATAAAGATTAAGCACTTATATGCACAGTAATGCAATGATGAATCTTAATCTATTTTAAACAAATTAAACATTCTTATTTAAAGGGAGTTTTTTTTTATTTTTTGCTTTTTTGCTTTTTGGTGAGGCAATCAGGGTTAAATGACTTGCCCAAAGTCACACAGCTAGTGTTATGTGTCTGAGGTCACATTTGAACTCAGGTCCTCCTGACTCCAAGGCCGGAGCTCTATCCATTGTGTCACCTAGCTGCTCCAGGTTTATTTTTTTTTAAACTGACCAAAAATGACCTGTTACCAAAATTCCTCATTTCCACACAGCTCAATAATCAAGTAGGGACTTTATACAGTATTCACTTTAGTGCCACATGTATTACTAAATGTATTGCTTAGGTGGCCCCTGACCAGAACAGAGATTCCCACAGTTATAAAAAAAAATTGTTTAAAAGACAGAGGAAAGAAGTATGGGTAAATGGCCTCAAAAAAAGTGGAAGACATTTTTGTCACTTTGGAGTTAAGAAAAAAACATGCTCCAAAGCATATGAACTTATAAAGCAGACCTACTTTAAAGGAGAATGAATTATATCCTAAGTCTCCTGATAATTTGGGACTATCTTCAAGTAGTTAAAATCCTCCTACTCTCCAATGCTACACGGATTAAAAAATATATTTGTGTGCTCACTCCCTATTTCTACCAGCTCTTTAAAATTCCTCAAATCACCTTTTCTGTTTGTCTCTAGAATTCACGTGCATCCACTGACATTGTATTTTTCATCCAATGTCCCTGATGCGACTGGGGTTAAATGACTTGCCCACAGTCACACAGCTAGTGAGTGTTATGTGTCTGATGCTGCATTTGAACTCAGGTCCTCCTGACTCCAGGGTCAGTGCTTTATCCACTGTGCCACCTACCTGCCCCCACTAATTTATTTGTAAAGAGACATTAAAAAATGAAGCAGCTAAAATCTCTCCAAAATAAAGACAAGGTAATCTGACATGTTTTTAAAATGTTAGAAGAAATTTTAGTCACAGCTAATAAAATGATCCATATTATTCAAGTACTCCAAAATGAAAGTTATTAACTCACCCAAATAAACAAAGGAGCTTTGATTTCATCATCACTGAGAATTCCCAGAATGGAGACCCTCTACCAGATTACAACCCAACTATCACTTATGAGACCTAGAGTGCCATCTCTGATACAAAGAGGTTAGGTTACGTGACCAACATCACCTAGCCAATAAGTAACAGAGGACCGATTTCAACCAGTCTTTCTGATTCCAAATGGAACCCTCCCAATCAGCATCCCAAGATGCCTCTTAATAATTCACACAACTCAAATCTTTAGAATTCCATGGGAATAACCCAAATCTAATACTTACCATTATCTGACCCTTCTGATTTCTCTGAGGAAGAATGTTCTGCAAAGAAAATCACACATTCATCAAAGCTGAATGTTTCAAATTTGTCAGTTGTGTCTTCCTAACTAGAATATAAATCCCTTCAAAAGCCTGTGTTTCATACCCCTTTTGTGTGCATCTGCTCTCCAGAATGTGGGGCACAGTCCTCAGAACTTAGTCAGGCATGCCCCAAACACTTATTGATTGACTGTCAAGGTGAATTAACAGCTCCAGTGCGGGGAGTGGTCACATTTGTCTGACCATAGTTGATTCTATCTGCCTGTCTATACTATAGATCTTTTACTTCTTAAAACAAAGCTAACAAAAAACCAGAAATACAATGAAAAAGCACTGATTGCAGAATGGGCTAAATAAATTGAGCTATATGAATATAATGGAATATTACTTAATCATAACAAAACAAAAGAAATATGAGGAATACAGAGACACATAAGAAAACTTAAATGAAGGAGAATGAACCAGAAAAACAAGATATACACCAAGACTATCCCAAAAGAAAGTAAGCCTCTCAAGGGCAAACTACATTTACTTCTGTCATATCTCTAGGTCCTAGCATAATAACTAGCATATAGTAAGTGATTAATAAATGCTTGTTGAATAAAACAATAATGTAAATCAAATAAACATTAAAATGAAGTCAATTCTAACTCTAAAGGAAGCCAAACAGTCAATGTTGGTTGGTTTTATTGTTTTGTGGTCTTTCTTACGAGGAAAGGGTCACCAGATAGGGTAAAGAACATTATACCTAGAAATGACTGTGATACAAAAAACAAAAGGCATCAATAAAATGTTAACTTAATTGTTACAAAATAATTAAACCAAAGTAGATTAGTAGATAACCTAATCTCCTATTTCTTCATCTATTACATAATCTCTTTCTTGCTGTGAAATCAGGTCGTAATTTCAGGATAATAATCATATCAGGAAACTGCTGAATTGTTGTGTCAGCTGTATTAGATACTGTTTAAGAGGCAACACCTCTACCCTCAGAAGCAGAAGTATGGACGAACAAGAAAGCTGCACAGCCATCAATATTCAAAATGGAATTCCTAACATTTGTTTACACGAGTGCCCACCTATCATCTCTCTGAATCATATGTAACACTTAGGGGCTCAGAACTATATCCCAAGAGAAATACAAAATGGAGGTAGGCTAGGTGGGAATGGATAAGCCCTGAGAAGACAATAAAAGGACTATCACATTACATACTTCTGCATAATGGGATTATTCCTGGCCAGGGGAAATTTCATTATATAAGAGTCTAATTATACACACACTTCATCTATTATCATTTCACATTATCCTTCCCCATACAAACACATATCTGGTCTTAAAAAATATCCAGAAAACATTAATAAAAAAAGGAAGTTTAGGTGATAACTTTTATTTCCTCCTCAAAAATATTTGTCTACACAGCATTACTAGAGAAATTTCTAGAGAAATTTTTGCATCCTTAAAGTACTTTGCAAACAAACATTAATTTTCATAACACCCCAAGGACATTAGAGGCAAGAACTGTTTTTCAATACCTGTCAGTAGTATACACAATTAGAGGCACAAATCAAAGGCCTTCACTTCCATATGCAATTTTCTAAGAATTTAAGTTACAGGAAGGTGGTGACTTGAATCAATTACAAGGACCTCCCCAATCTGGGAATTCCCTAAACTAATGAAATCATTCCACTGCACTTCCTAAGTGAGGGAAAATTACAAAAAAGGGAAAAAAAGAGCTAACATATAGAGCACTTTAAGGTTTGCAGAATGCTTTATATAAGCTCTCTCATTTGATCCTTACACCAGGCACTCTTATTAGAATGATGAAGAGCTCAGCTGTTACTCTCTTGTTGTTGTTCAGTCATTTCAGTGGTTGGACTCTGTGATCCCATTTAGATTTCCTTGGCAAAGATACCTGGGCAGCTAGGTGGCCCAGTGGAAAGAGTGCTGGGGCTGGAGTCAGGAAGACTCATCTAATATCTTTGCCAAAAAAACCACAAATGGGGTTCACAAAGTCAGACACGATTGAAAAAATGACTGCCTGGCAAAGGTATTGGAATGGTTTGCCATTTCCTTCTTCAGCTCATTTTACAGATGAGAAACAGGCAGAGTTAAGTGACTTGCCCAGAGTCACATAGCTAATAAATGTCTGAAGCTGGATTTTAACTCAGGAAAATGAAGTCTTCCCTAATTTCAGGGTTGGCACTCTATCTACTGTGCCACCTAGCTGTCCTATGTTACTCTAAGTCAGGGATGGGGAACCAGCCACAGGTTCCCTACCCCTGCTCTAAGTTACTTAAGCAAACAAAGCTAGCAGCAAGGCAAAAAGTCAAATCTACCCTGGTTATTGAGCACAGTCCTGCTTTCCCCAGTCATCTTTCATTGCAAATGGATGCCTCATAGGCCAAAGCTCAGCAGGCATGGCCTCTTTAGAGGCCTGCATGCGAGAACTAGTGGGCAGAGATAACAAACTGTAAGGCAGGTATGGCTTGCTCTGCCAAGAGCCAAACAAATGCTCTTTCTTGTTCATTTTCTCCTATTCATCTTCTATGAATAAGAAAGCAAGTAAAAAGTAGCTAAACACTTGGCAACAACCTAATAAAAAGATTTCTTCATTCAACAAGCACATATGTATACTACAATTTTGGATCGGCTGAGGTAGTTTGATGTGGAGAAACACCAAAAAGGCCAACCTGATTGATTTATGTAATTCATTTACTCAACATCTGGGTCTTAAAATCACTGACCTCCCATACTATTTCAGAGCTCAGAGTAAATCTAAATCTCAGAAATGGCCCTAGAACAAATTCTACCTATATTCCTGGCCCCCCAAATCCAGATAAGGCTTGGGATAAACTTCTCAGATATATTCTCACCTAGTTCTTTATTCCTTAGACCAGACTGGGGACAATGATCTACCTTTCTTTACATATAGGTACATGAACTTAGGGAGATCCAACATGCTCCTTGTTGACTATTTGCTTGAATAACTATCTTATAGGTATCATATAGGTTCTTACAAGGCAGGGGCTCTAAAAAATGTAGCATGTAGAATAATGAGGACATGTGCACATGAATGGCTATTAATGACCCTAAAACAAAATGATCTAAAGTAATAAAATTTAATTTTTATAATAATATAATTAAGAACTAATTGATCACTCCAAATTAAACTGCCTAAAATTTTACTAAAAATTACAATGTATATATGTGCACGTTGAATGAATAAATCTCTACAATTCCTACTATTATTTTAAAATTGATGAAAAGGCAGAGAGCAAGAGACAAAATAAGAATTCTGCTTTCGACCCTGTTTTTTAACACAATGTGAATGTTTTCTCTACAGTTTAAATGACTTGGTCAAGCTTAAACCTAGGTCAAAATATACAAAAGTGCATTTACAATTTGGTTATTTGCTTTTTTGGTCCAGACTTGTGACTTCACTAGTGTGGAGAATTAACAATGTGGAAATTCCCTTTACTGATGCCTTAGAGAGTTGTCAATGATACTGAAAGCCTTAGCTTGTCCAGGGTGACAAAACTATTACCATTCTCAGGTAGAACATTCCATCAAGAATTCCTAATTTCAAAACTGGCCTTCAGACTATGACACTTCACCATAATAATTCACTAGAAATACAAAGGGAAAAAATACAGTATGCATATTTCCATAAGTGGAGCAAGACAGCCCTCTCCTGTCCAAAGATATAATTCAGCTTTAGCTTTGAAATTCTTACATTATTAGCATTGGGATTGGATCAAATTCATAAGACATTTTCTTTCTAAGTTGTCTGCTTGCTTCTGGTGATTATTCATTATAATGATAGGGAATTTAGTGAATTTAAAGTCAATTTTTCATCATGGGCCCACAAGAACAAAAAAGTTACTCTCAGAGTGAGACTTAAAATTTAATTTATCTAAAATATTTTAAAGGTAGATTTCAATTTTTAGATGTGAGAGCAACCTCAGATATCACTTGGTCCAATTCCCTTATTTGACAGATGAGAGTCTTGCCCAGTCACACAAAAGGTGGGCTTAGGATTCAATTTTCTTGACTCTCTGACTATTGGCAAGTTACAACTTTTGAAATGTTTAAGACATTTGGAATTTTCCCTTATATCTTTTGCACTTTATATCCGAAGAAGAGAAGTCAGGTTCAATTTTATATTTATAAATGGATTTTATACATTTTATGTTTATGCCTTTAAAATTTTTTATAAATGTAAATTACATATTGATTTGTTCATACCTTTTCCCTTCTTTTTCTTGGAAGTCTGCATTTTTGAAGAAGATAATTTGGATCTTTTATGTGATGATTCTTCACAATCTTCTTCAGTTCTACCCCTTATCTTTTTTGGTTTGACTTCTTTTCTCCTTTATGTTAAAAATTAAGCAAACAATAGACTTTATATTGATTTTTCCACACAAGAAACAATGTATGAAAAAATGTCAATTAAGAATTAGGAATAATGATGATGATGATTATGATAATGATGATAGTAATAATAATAATAATAATAGCATTTATAAAGTGCTTTAGAGTTTGCAAAACGCTTTATATACATCATTTCATTCAGTACTCACAACAACCCAATTAGGTAGGTTATCATATCACTATGTTACAAAGGAAAAAACTGAGGTAGAAAGAGTCTAAGTGCTTAGAGTCATAGACTTAGTTAAGCATCTGAAGCATCTGAATTCAGGTCTTTCTTTCCTGTAAGTCCAGCACTTTATCCTTTATGTCACCAAGGAATAGTTGCTTTTTTAAAAATGCAATTGAAATAATGGAACATTATAAATATAATCATATTTTAATGTTAATTTGAAAGGTTTCTACCACAGAAAATATGCTACTAGAAATGGAGAACACCAGCTGAGCGTGAAAAACACACTCAAACACCACAACCTACCCCCAACTTTTTTAACTTATTTTTTCTTTCTAGGCTGTTTCTGACATTAGGAAACAAAGCAACTGGGTGGCGTTGGAAAGAATGAATAAGAAGAAATTCTTCTTTTCCAAACTCTAACAAGTAAATTTAATGAGAACTCCATATATTTTGATGGTTCAATGATTCTGATCTCTAATGTCAATTAACTATTTTGAATGTGACAACTTATTTCAAGTAAATTTATTAAAAGGGAAAGAAAATATTACTTAAAAATTCCATCGATGGCTTTTTAAGAGATCTAGTCCATCTAAAATCTCACCAAATATACTAATAAACTCTAAAGTAGCAATCAGATATTTATGAATGAACATCCATTACATTTAACACCTGTAGACAGGTCAAATCTGTGACATATAATAATACTATTTTTTAATGTGCTATCTGAATTCTCTACAGTATGCTGGGATTCTTTATTTAATCAACGAGTGCCCATTTTACAGGATTTGGTCCATAGTTTTACTGTGTTAAGTGACTGATGAGTTTTAGAGTTTTTCTATCTTTGATTTTAGGACATACTATTGGTCATTATCTGTAATCTAAGGCCAAGTCCCCTTGATCAAAAAAACAACACTTCAACTGTAACATTGTTCCTATAGGAAAATGTAAACTGCTACATGGAGATGTTTTATGACATAATTTCTTGAAAGGCACTGAACCAAAAAGTTGGAACTATCTGTTATAGTATCTGAGAAAAGGCTCTCCACCAAAAATTTCAACACCCATCCACTGTACCTACACAGGGCTATGAGCTTACAGCTGTACATGATTATATATACTTAAAACACTTAGCACAATTCTTGGTAATCGGTAAGTAAGTACTTAACGTTTGCTGAATGACTAATCAAGAATGGATAAGGAGCAAGCGCCATACTCCTGGCTTATAAGGGCATATAATGGAGTCCTGACATTCTATACAACTATCCAACCATTTGGCCAAGCAAAAAACCCTTGAACCAATGCTTAGGCATCTAACGTAGGTAAATAAACACCTACTTCAAGGGTACTGATGCAGTAGTAGATATGCTACTTGAGATGCCCAAATTAAATTTGTTTTAAAGATTATATTACCTGTGATGAAAATTTAGCTGGAAGGAACATTCTTGGCAAAGTCCTAAAAGAAATATGTGATAAAATGTATTTAACTAAATTTGGATAAACAAATTATCATACCATTTTTAACTTCACAAATTTCCTTTTTTCCCAAAATGTTCTTTCTCAAAAGTAATATTAATGGAAATAATCTGCTAAAGAAATAACGGGCATATTATCTGCCTCTCCTAACTCAAAAAGATGTCGTAAGCATAATCAAAAAAGGGTTGGGGGAGAAATAAAGTTAGATAAGTGTATCCAGCTGATTAAAAAATATTATAACATTACTTTAGTGGGGAAGAAGGAGTAAAGGGTTACCAGTATGTTTGATAAACAAATTAACAGAGGTTGCTGCCAACCCCTACCCGTTTCAATTCAAAGAAATCTAAGAACAATCACCAGTTTATACATAATATCTTTACTCTTAAGAGACCAATGAGCTTTCAAATACAGCGAAAGCTCCAACTTTTAGGTACTTGATTATACAGGCTCCTTGCTCTTGATCCAACTGGCTGACCTTTAGATGAAATAATAGTAGGAAATGATCAGAAGCAAGGAATGGAGATCAGATTTAAATATGTTCTTTTCTTAAATACTTTTTACCAGCAAATAGTGGCCATTAGTGGCTTAATAGTCACAATAAATGCTTTTTCACTGTTAAAATAAATTTGCAGATCATCTATGAATTTCCTTATCCACAATATCAACCAGTCCATTAATACATATAATAGAATGTTACTTTATTTTTCTTCAAAATATCTACCTGACCTAGGAAAGGACAGAGACCTATTCTCATATGTGTGCCCATGGAAAAAGTAAAGCAAGAGCAACTAAATATCTTACTCAAGTTTATGTGGTAAATTAATAGAACCTTAGTTGTTTGATTTCCAATTTAATATTCCCACTTGAAAAAAGTGGTGGTATCTTACCTCCTAGCTTGTCTATCTAGGTCCTAAAGAAAGCCAAATCAAGCAATGTCTGGGAGCAGGCATGAAAATTGGTGTAGTGTATGAACAGTTGAATGTTCATGCTCCTAATGCACTCCACAGTCAAATACAAAAGATTTCTGAATTACCTATTATCATATATTATACATACTTTTGTCTTCTCCCCTCCAATGCACAGATAACTATGTTAATCTCCAAAATCTCTAGTGACAGCTCCACTTTGCCATTCCAGAGACAGGGAACAGTATTTTATAAGACAACTTTATCTCACTGTACTTATGCAACTTATCTCCACTATAGCACATCAATGGTGAGTAAGTAACCTCAGAATACTTTCTACACTGAAGTGTGCCTTTTTGGACAGACAAAGTCTCATGCTTTCAGAAATTATTTTTTGATTATCATGCTCCCCTTTATAAATGCAGATAATTGAGAATTGATCATATGTTTTTTTAAAAAAGCTTTTTTCTCTGAAATGAATGTATATATGGATATACATATCTTAACCCTAAAACCAGTGACACTTCATTTTGACAGATACAGAATTATTTTTACAAACTACTGATGCACAATTATTAACAATAAGACTATACTATAATAGATGACACATATAATGCTTTAGGTTTAAAAGGCACTTTATATATGTTATCTTATTTGATCCTTACAACAATCCTGTAAAGTAAGCATACATTTAGCAGTAGCAAGAAAAGATAATAATATTGACTTGCTAACTTCCTCATTAATCAACAAGAATTTAAGTAACTAATATGTGGTAGGTTCTAGAGACATAAATATAAAACTGAGACAATCTTTGCTCTCAAGGAGCTTATATTCTGAGGGAAATATCCCATATTTACAGATAAAAAAATACAGAGGCATACATAATAAGCATATGGCTTTGGGGGGGGTGGTAATAACAAATAATAACTGGGAACTCAGAAAAGGCCTCTTACATGAGATGACACTTAAACTAAGCCTTGAAGGAAGCTAAAGGTTGCAAGAGAATAAAGTAAGTGAAGCACTGTACGCATGGGGGGATGTTCAAAGGATGTTGTGAATGGAGAACAGCAAGTAGACCAATTTTGTTAGAGCATGAGGTTCATAAGGATACAGAGTAAGGGGTAATCAACCTGTAAAGACAGGTTAGAGCCAGACTGTGAAGCGCTTTAAACACTAAACAAAGAAGACTGTGTTTTAACTTAAAAGCAATGGGGAGCCAAGAGAAAAAAAAAGCACTAGGGCTTCTTGAACTGAGAAGTCCCATTAGAAATCATGAGGCACAGGGTAATTTTTAGGAAGTCACTTAATTTAACTTAATGCATTTGATATTAATTATACCAATTAATTTTTTAACAATAGACATATGATTTCCAATTTTGCTTTATCTGCTAATGAATATTCATTAATAGTTTTAAGAAATAGTTCTAGTTAGATGTCATGTTAAATCAAAAACAATCCTTTCCAAATCAACCTACTTAATTTCACAAGTGCATTTCTCTTTTCACCATGTTCAATGTAGCCAAAATTCACTTCCCAACTCTTTAATCCTTCTTTTTCATCGCATCGTTTATTTCCACAGAAAAACTGACCTGAAAAACAGTCACATAGAAAATTCTCCTTAGGTAATTAGTTAAAATACCATGTGCCTATGTTTCATTTATGACCTGTATGATGTAGCATTGTTGTTCAGTCGTTCTCAGTCATGTCCAACTCTTTATGACCCCATTTTGGATTTTTCTTGGCAAAGATACCAGAGTGGTTTGCCATTTCCTTCTCCAGCACGATGTAGCATTAGCTGTTACCCATATCTAAAATCCAGATCTAAAAATAGTTTATATCTAATCTAGATTTAAAATGGAAACATATCCTAGGCAACATAAAGTAAATTTTCCAAACACACACACACACACACACACACACACACACACACGGCCATGTTCAATCATATATTACTATTTCTTAATGTTGTGGTAGTCTAGGATAGAGGGTCAGCCTTGAAGTCAGGAAAATCTGGGTTTAAGTGCTGCCCCTGACACATTCTGGCTGTGGGACCATCTACAAGGTAAGTCACTCAATCTTTCAATACCCCAGGCAACTCTCTAAGGTTAAGCTGTGGAAGAGATGCCACTCTGCACTGGTAGAAGGAATTGGTTCTGGGAGTTCTCTACCTCAAGTAAATTTCAGGTCCAGATTGTTCCCATAAACAAAAAAAAAGTACTATGTCAACAGTGTAAGAATTATCAGCTAAAAAGCAAAAAATTCAGTTAGATTCCTCAATTCCCTTGCAAGATGGATACTCAAGCATTACATGATTTCCTGCCTTTTAATTTAGCTTGCATCTTTGCACAGCTAATTTCATATTTGACACAATGCATTTACTTCACAGACTTAACTTAGGACAACATAAACAGGCACTAATGCTGACAAGATAAACAAAAATAACTTACTTAAAATGTTTAACCTGGATTTTAAATTTAAACCAACAAAAATAATCTTTTCAAACACTGTAAAAGTTTCTATACAATTTTACATAGAGATATCATGTGTAAAAGCGCTATACAGACAGAAGTTATTAGTAAAGATGTTAAAATATCATAAAATAATTGTGGAGCAAAAATAATTACTTCTAATTATTTACTATTTGAAACACTATATTGATGTAACCTTTAGGTGAAAGTTTATAAAGAGGCTACAACAGGTGATTAGGAGCCTAATTGCTTCTCTATAGATAATTTAGAATAATCAAATAGAACCATTTTCTAAACAATGGGAGTCAGTCAGTCTAGAAAATCCATTAGTATCAAAGTAATATTTACTTTCTGTTTTCAAAATGTGGATTTGGCTATCATACAGTAATACCTCTATTAGTGGAATAAACAAGATCTATTAACATACTTTGTTGTCAGAAACCATTAAGACAGGAAAAGTAACAGAGGTGGCACAGTCGTGCATGCCAGGATGTCAAAAAGAAAAAGAGGAGGGTCACATTATGAAAACAGCATAAAATACTAACTAAAATAATATCAAATGTGCAAGTATACTCATCAGTGAGGCTGTTTTCTCTGAGTTTGAGTACATTAATTCACATCAATTAACTTTTTCTTATTTTGTCAAAGACCTACACAAGCTAGAGATAAAAAGACAACAAGGAAATGATTTCTGCCCTCAAGGAGCTTATGAATATAAGCTACTGTGGGAACACAATGCATAGAGAGGGGGACATAAGACAGATCTCCCAGGAAAAGGCATCTGAGCTGACCTGAAATGAAAAAGAGTTCTGAGAGCAAAAATGGGGAGGAAGCACACTTCAGGCTTGGGCAAATGCAGGTAATGACTTACATGTGTACATGTTACTGCATCCAACCCCAACAAAATGTAAGCCCTGTGAGGACTGGAATGGTTTCACTTCTGTCTTCACAGCCCAGCACTTAGCAAGATACTGGGCACAGAATGGATTCTAAATAAGCTTGCTGTAAGTGGAAAGCAGCAGGTGGACTAGTATGTGGATGGCTAGAAAGTAAAGTCCGTGAAAAGCAATGATATGAACAAAGCTTCCACAAAAGTGGGGTGCTTTAAATCCCAAGTGGTGAGTTTGCATTTGATATGGCTCCAGATGGAACAGAGAAGGGAGGAGATTTAATTTTGGACTTGAAACTACAGATGAAATTTGGGAGAGCTAGAGAAGTTTAAAGAGAAGGGTTCAAGCCAAAGGAAAGGGAATGTGAGGACCTAACAGGAAGACAAAGAAGGACCTGAGGAGTAAAAAAAAGAAGGAGGACTCTGGGAAGAAGTGGGAGAGACTGGAAAGACCAGGTCACCACAGCACACAGGAAGACAAGGCAATAGATAAGACAGTCCATATAAAAGACATGATAAAGTGAAAGGATAAGAAAATCCTTAGGAGGTATAAAAGTGGTACTGAGAAAGGGACAGTTTTATGTTGAGGCGAAACTGGATGTGTGCCCCACAGCTGTCCCAGGAAGCTGTCAGCAAAAGTGACAAATGACTGAGGAACGAGTGCAGCATGAATGGAGAGCAGGGAGACCTTTGCCATGACTTGTGCAGAAGGTGTAACGCCTGTGTTTCTAACATAGCTAGCTGACTGTTATCTCTGTTCACTGAAACACACAGTAGTCTGAGAAAGGAAAAAGCCATGAAGAGGCAGAAGGGAATCCTGACCATCTTGGGAGGGCAGAGGCAAAAAGAACATCCTGCCAAAGAAGACAAAGAAGAAAAACAGTCCAGCTGATCTCTATGAAGCCCTGCCTAAGGAAGAGGCTGGCCAGACACGGCTGGGCTACAGAGTGAAGAGAACCCAGGAATGGTCATAAGAAGAAAGAAGGACTGGTGGCTAGACACTCCAGGCTGAGAGAGAGTGAGGCAGTTAATTGTCATCTGATAATGATAGCAGGTTCTTCTGTCTTCCTGGTGCATGTATCCAACATGAGACAGAGCCCCTCCTAAGAACTGTCAAACCAGATGACTTCTACTCACTTACCTCTAGTAATTCTCATGGTCATACATGATACCAGAAAGAACCTAAAATGCACTTCTAAACAGAAGGTAGTCTTCAGCACAAAAACTAGGGACACAAGCAGTATTTTCACTGCTGCCATTGGTCAAAGGTGAGGGCTTTAAAGGAGAAAGATAGAACAGTTATTTAAGAAGGTGGACTCTCCCAGTGATTGGGGAACAGCCAAATTATGGCACACCAATATAGTGGAACAGTACTGAGCTGTAAGAAAAAACTGAATATGAAGAATTCAGAGTAGCATGGGAAGGCTTAAATGAACTGATACAGAATGAAGTAAGAACAAGGAAAACAATATACACTATGACTAAAACAATGCAAAGAACAAACAAAGTGAATGGTATATAATTATAATGATCAAGTTCGTCCTCAGAGAAGAATTGAATGAGTATACCTTCTTTCCATTTGCCAGACTGGGGGTCTATAGATGTGTGTTATTGTACATGCTGTCAAAATAATTAATATGATAATTTTTTGTGGTGGGAAGTGGGGGCTTAACTGCTTTTTGTCTTTTTTAAACAGTTTATAATGTATGGCTCATTGGGTAGGGACATGGATACATCTGAACACAAAGGTGATACAAAAACAAACAAAAAGATAAAATAAGATAAACAATAAAAGATAATAAACTGCCAAATCAAAAAAGGAAGACAACAGCATCTGAGAATAAGATTTGGATTTCTAGACCACAGTTTGAAATATAAAAAGGATACCTTGAAATATTTAAAAAAAAGGATTTAAAATGGAAAAGGAAGAGAGAGGGCAAAAACTGCCTAGGCATGTCCACCAAGCTAGATATCAAAGGAAATACTGACAATGTAGAAAAAAGAATAGGAGTAATTATAATCAGGAATTCACAGGAAATGAAATGCCAAAAAAAGAACCATTGTCCTAGATGCACAATGTATGAGTTAACAAGCATGATTATCTAGCATTCCTGCTGAAGAAAAAAATGTGACCTTATGGTATCATTAAAATCTGATAGAATGGAACTACTGAAATATGGCTCTGAAAGGTTATATCTTATTCACAAATAACAGGATAGATAATAGGAAGCGTTGGTGTGGCAGAGTTGCACACTCTAAGAGAACACATTCATATGAAGAAATCTATGAACTATACAGGGGAACCAAGGGGGCAAATATCAAGTGCAGCTCAACAGGGATAGGAACAGAAACGATACTGTCATCAGCATATTATACAGGCCACCTGGGCAGAAAGAAAAAATTGAGGAACACATCAAAGCCTAGCACAGAGGCATGATAACAGTAAGTGATGGCAGACTTCCAACTACTCAAACATCTGCTCGTTAGGCTGAAAATTGGAACAGCTAATATCTTCTTGATTTGCTTTAATGTAGATTTTATCCTTCAAAAAGTGGAGAAACTAAACAGGGGAACTTCTATACTGGATTTGATTCTCACTGACAAGGAAGAACTGGTTTCTAGGATGGAAACGACTGAAATCATAAAGGAAATTGACTGCTCCACCTTTAAATTTTATAACACAAGAGGAGACACAGGTATAGTTTGACATACACCCTAGATTTTAGAAGAGCAAATTTTAAAGGGTTCAGTTGAGAAAAGATAGCTAGGATCCTATGAATTATAATTCTACAAGGGAAGTCAGCACTAATGATTAGAAGCACTAAAGATTTAAATTCTGAAGACACTAACAGAAACAATTCCAATGAGGAAAAGGAGAAGTTGTCTAAAGAGAATAATGTGGATACAAAGGAAACTCATCAACCAACTTAAATAAAAAATAAGTAAATAAAATAAACAAGCACAAAAGATGGAAGGGCAGGTAAAAGAGGGTGACTACTAAAGAGTGAGTGGTAAAGTCCTATAAGACTAGTGCCAGGAACATTAAAGCTCAAAATGTGCTATGGCCATCAAAGAAAACAGGATGGTGAAAAAAATCTTAGGGTAACCAAGTGTTTTATTTTATGATCATCATTTTAGATATATTGGGGGGGTAGTAAATCAAGAAGGGACAGTATGGTGGTGATGGCAATAGCTGTTCAATTATTATTTTGCTTCTGTTTTCTCTGCTAAGGAAAATGATCTCTGAACTAGAAAGAAATGGAAAAAATGGCTCCTAGGAAACTAATATGAATGACAATTAAGGGGACAATAAGAAAGAATCAAGCTATCCTTTAGGAGCTCAGACACTAGGCCTGGATAACTATGGTCATGAAAGAACAGGCAGATGTGATTGCCAAACCTCTAGCAGCAATCTTTGAAAGAATGGGGAGAATGGAAGAGGTACTACAAGACTGGAAAAGATCAAATATCCTGACTTTAAAAAAAAGGAAACAGAACAGAGTCAGCAAATTACTAATCAATCTGACTTCAATTATTGACAAAATTCTATAACATATTATTAAAAGTATGGTTAATTAACAAGTAACTGGCTTTATCAAGAGCTGGTTATACTAGACTAATGTTAATTCCTTTTTTGATAGAATTACTGGACTGACCAACTGAATTACTAGACTACTAGTATTAGAGAGAATTTACCTAGATTTTGGCAAAGTAGTCTTTGATAGTCTTGATAGTCTTTCATGACATTCTTGAAGGGGGAAAAGAAAATATGAGCTAAATGACAGTGCAGTTAGGAGGAATTGTGGAAAGTCAGGCACACCAATACACTGCTGATAAAGCTGTGAACTGGTTCAACCATTCAAAAAATATTTTAATTATGCTATGAAAGTGACTAAACTGTTCATACCATCCTCTGACACAGAGATGCCATTGCTAGGCATTTATGCCACAGAGGTCAAAGACAGAAAGAAAAGTCTCATATGCACAAGAAATATTTATGGCAGCATTTTTGTAGGAGTCAAGAACTGGAAATAAAACAGAGGAAGAAAAGAGACAAGCTTAGAGAGACAAATGTACTGATGCAAAATGAAGTAAACAAAAACCTGGAAAACAATATAAATAATAAAAAACTCAAACCAAACATTACATAATTATAACGAGCAAGCTTGTCTCTCTCCCCCTCTAGAAGACATGAGAAAATGTATTTCACTTTCTTTTTGCCAAGGCAAAACATTTTGTTAATATAGTATGGCTCTCTGGAGAGGGGAAAAAGGAATGTATACAAAAAATAAAAATAATGTAAAAACAAGATATCAATAAAAATGTTTAAATTAAAATAAGAAACTTGTCAACAGACCAGGCCTGAAGTATGATCATTAATAACCCATGTCAACTTGGAATAAGATCTCTAGGGAAGAGCCCCCAGGGATTTGTGCTTAACTCTATATAAAATATTTAACAAAGGCTGAAGAAGGGCATTAATGACATTACGACACAGTCAGGTGGAAGAGCTAACACACTGGATTACAGGATCCAAAAAATCTTGACAGACTAGAACACTGTTCCAAACCAAATAATATGAAATTAATATGATAAATGTAAAATCTAACTGTTACTTGGGTTAAAGAACTCAACTCATATATACAAGATTGGGGAGGCAATAACTACATAATTGTTTGTTTGAAAAAGAAACCAAAAAAAAACTAATGTAAATTTAGGTTGTATTAAGAAAGGCATTGTATCTAAGAAAGTGATAGTGTAGATTCAGCCTACCCTGGTTGGACCATATCTGGTGTATTCTATTCAGTTATATTAACAATACTGGAAAGCTATGGGAGTATGCAAAGCCAGGAAACCAGGACATAAAAGGGTTTCAACTTCATTTAGCATGAGAACTGAAGTAATTAGGGATGTTTAGCTGTGTGAAAAGAGAACAACTAATAAGGGAGACATGATAGCAGTCTTCAAATATTTGAAGGATTGCCCAACAGCACAGAACTAGGAGCAATTGATGGAACTTCCAGTGGCAGATTTAAGCTTGATGCACAGGAAAACATCCTAATTATTTAAGTACAAAGGGTTGCCTTGGGAGGGAACAGATTCTGTCTCACTGGAGATCTCCAAACAAAGACTGGATATCTATTTGTCAGGTATATTATGGAGGACCTTCAAGAACAAGTGGAATTATGATGACCTCTTAGGTCTCTTTCAAGACTGAGAGCCTGTGGTTGGTTAAAATACTTTAAGAAATGGTGATAACCTTATAGAAGCATTTTTTGTGGAAGGCAAAGAACTGAAAACTCTGGCTTTCAGTAGATACCCATTAACTGGGGAATGGCTAAATACACTGTGTACATGAATGTAATGAAATATTACTGTGATTTAAGAAGATAAACATGATAAATATAGAGAAGCATAAAAACACATGAACTGATAAAAGTGAAATAAGAAAAGAAAGGAAAATAAAATACACAACTATAACAATGTAAATAGAAAAAACAACCACCATAATACTACTGAAAATGAAGGTTGTAAAATTATAAAGAACAAATTTGGCCCCTGGAAGAGATACAAGAAAGCTACAGAAGAACTAAAGTATATTTCCTAAGGTAGGATATAGGACCCTTACTACAGGTCCCAAAAGTCTGCTGAGATTAGAAGAAGCAAATATATAAAAAAAGAATATGATCAGAAAAAAATGATACTTGGAGGAAGATCAATAAACCAATTAAGAATCTAGAGATAATATGTCATATTAGAGAAAAACTGCTGAGAAAAAAAGTTTAAAATAAATATTTAGAAGCTATCTGATAAAGAATGATTATAGTAAGCAGTTTACTAACATATCCAATATGCTTATTACATTTTTGCTGAAAGTAAAATAATTTTATACTCATTTGCTCAAATGTCACATGTACATCTTCTACATAGGGCAGCTAGGTAGAACAGTAGATAGAGGGCAGGGCCTGGAGTCAGGAAGATCTGAGTTCAAACCTGACCTCAATAACTAGCCGTGTGACCCTGGGCAAATCACTTAACTCTGTTTGCTTCAGATTCCTCATCTGTAAAATGAGCTGGAGAAGGAAATGGCAAACTACTCCAGTATCTTTCAAGAAAACCCCAAAGAGGGTCATGAAGAGTCAGACACAACTGAAAAAAAAAAAACCCAAAAAACTAAACAACACATCTTCTATATAGTCCTATTAATATAGATATAAATTGTCTAAGGCCAGAAATAACTTTCATCAATGCTATTTAGAAACATAATAAATAGCCTGTATACTGAAAGGAAAAAAAATTACCTTTTCCTGAAACTACTTCTTTTTCTATTCGCCATCGAAATCCAAACTAACAAGAAAAAAATTACATTAAAAGAGAAATACATTTTAACATTTTAAAATCAAATCAAACTTGAGACCTGATTTAGAATAATGAGGTATTCCAACCTAATTAAAAAGATCACCATCAAGAAAGCTACAGTATTTCTTTTTCTGTAAAATCAGAAGGATAAATCACCAACTTTTGTTTCTCATTTATTCTACTTATTTCAATCCAAATTGAAGCTACTAGGGTTTACGGATGTTAATAAGTATCAGTTCATGTCATCTATTAAGTTAGCTCAGTGAATAATACGTATTTCTCGGTGCTGCTAATACAGAAATGTTGGTGCTGTGATGACATCAGGCTGACCAAACAAAGAACAAATAATCAAAGGACTCTCGCTAACCAAGAGAATTTCTAAAATTAAAAAGTTCAAGTTAAACTCCTGGTCTAAGCAACCTCACTGGGAAGACATTTTATTGACCTTACCCTTGCTATTATTCAGTAGACTCCTCTTTCCCCCAATAAGGTTGGGCCAAATATGGTCAGGAATAAGAAGTGAACCATGCTTGGACTCTTTGTGAAAAAGTGATACTCCCCACCTTTACCCCAAACAGCTAGTCAGGTTTTCCTCTCCAAATCAAGAACTCCCACATTCAAATGTTATTTTGATTATAATTTTAGCAAAGGGTCTATTTTTCTACTTGGGATTCTTTTACTCTGGGTTATTTTTCCAGGACCTCCACAACACTTACCAACTTTCTACCATACCCCCACTTCCAGCTCCCCTTTATATGTGTGTGTCTCCCATTAGAATGTTAGCTCCTTGGGAACTGGGACTATCTTGCTTCCTCCTGGAAGTTCATACCATACCTAGACTACTTCTCACATCAGAAGTTCTCTGCTACCCTGAGGCCTCTCCTTTTGATGGGTGATTCTGGCAGATTCCTCCAAGAATATACATTTTAAGGAGGAGGCCCAGGCCTATCATATTGTCATTCTCTGTCAGGATGCACTCCTGATTCTCCATGGGACTTTCTGTACCATGTCCCCACTATGAATACCTTCATTTGCACCCCTTTCTCCCTTTTTAGCTCTGTTTTATGTTTTGTCTTCCCCTACTTGAATGTAAGCTCCTTGGGGGCAGGGACTGTCTTTCTGCTTGTATGTGTATCCCTACAGCTTAGCACAGTGCCCAGTAGATAGTAAGCATTCTATGTACTTTCTATGTTAAATGTTAATGAAGAAAACAAAGTTTAAAAAATTTAACGTATAAACTAAAGCCCAATATAAATAAAATCAACTCAAAATACTAGGCTAAATACTAGAATAAAATGCAAACTCTTCAGACTGCTGTTTAAAGCCTTCTCCAATCTAGTTCCTACCCACCTTTCCAGAATTATTTGTCACTTCCCCTTCACATACTACGTTCCAGTCAAACTGGCCTCTCAGCTCTTTCCCACACTTAACATTGCATCTCCTCTCTCTCTGTCTTTGTAAAGGCTATCCCCTATGCCTGTCCTTACCTCCAACTCCTAGAATCACTGGCTTCTGTCAAAAGTTCAGCTCAAGAGCTACATGATCTATGAGACCTTTCCTGATTCCTCCCAACTGCTAGTGCCTCTTACCCCCTCTACCAAAATTACCTTGTATTTACTCTATATTTACTTAGGTGTACGTACATATTTACTCTATACTTACTTGCATTTACATACAGTTTCCCTTCAGTGAATGTAAGCCAGTAGAGGAGAGAAAGTTTTGGTTTTGCCTTTGCATCCCCAGGGCCTAGTACAGTGCCTTGCACATAATACATATTTGTTGAACTGAACAGAACATCCAGAACAGTTCATGCCAAAAAAAACCTGAGGCAGCTCAATTTAAATCTATAATTAGGCTTGTAAATATATTTAGGAGCTGCCTACCACCTAACAGATTCAAAGTTCATCTCTAGTGTCACTTCCTACAGGAAGTCCATCCTGATCCCCAAGTTGTTAGTGCCATTTCCCAGTGTAAATCATTATCTACTCTGTATATTTTTGGTATTTATATACTTTTTTGTTTACATGTTATTTTCCACTAGAAGAATGTAAGCTCCTTGATGACAAAGACTGTTGAGTTTCTATGTCTCCCCAGCACTTGGCATAGTGCGTGGCACAGTGTGTGCACATGGCAGATAATAAGTTCATGAATGGTCACCCAGATTTTGCTTAAAGACTTTTAGTGAAGGTAACTTTCCAAACTTTCCAGCCCATATCTCTTTTGTATGACTAATAATTAACTAAACCTTTCCTATAATTGAACCTAAAACAGTCCCTAAGCAATTTCCATACAGTACTCTTAATTCTCTTCTTTGGATTAGAATAAGTCTAATACCTTTTCCAGATAACAGCACTTCAAATACTTGAAGAGAACCAAAAAGTCAACCCAAAAGCTCTTTTTACACCAACCCCCAGTTCTTTTAACTGAACTTCATGTCATAATATTCACGAGCAAGGAGATTCACCACCATGGTTTGCTCTCTACTAGACGCTGTCCAGATTATCTATGTCCTTCCTAAAATGTGGTGCCTAGAACTGAATACAATATTTCAGATGTGGTATGATCAGGAAAGAGTACAGTGAAACTATTACCATCCTAGTGTTGACACTCCACCTCTTTTAATAAAGTGTAATTATCACATTAGTTCTTTTGACAGTCACACACTGAGGTTATAGCACCTCTCCTATTCTCCCCAATATTTTAAAGATTAGTGGCAGTGAATAAGCAATCACATCGGACAATTTTTTAGTACTTGTGGATATAATATATTTGAGACTGGTGGCTTGAACTTGGGAAGGAAGCTAGGTGTTCTCAAACCATTCCTCTAATTATCGGTTTTCAGATGCCTAGCTGTTTTTATTTGGTCCCTTCCAATACAAAGATCATTCTCCTTGACAGAAGGGAAAAAGTCCAATTAGGCACTATAAATATTTATTATTAAACCACAGTTCCATTTAAGCATAATTCCAGTGAAAATCTATCACTTGAATAAACAAAAAAAAAGACTCTCAGAAAAAGCAAATCCCAGGCAGTTAATAGATTGCCTTTTCCAATATAACTAATTTCAAATTATGTACATGTAGATTTTCCATAGCAAATTTTTAATTATAAAATAATTCTCTAATGTCTACTAATCCATGCTCCTGGGCCACTTCCATTAGCCACAGCCAGTAAAGTCAACAAGCATTTTTTTTTTAAAAAGACTAGGTCTCCCTATCTTGCCCAAATTGGAAGCGTACGGGCTATTCCAGGCTCTGATAGGCACAGGGGTAACTTGTTTCCAATACAGTATAATTCAGGCCTCTTTAGGCAACCTTGTAGGACACCTCACTACTACTACTACTATTACCATTACCACCACCACCACCACCACCACCACCATTACCACCAAGCTCACGTTATTAGTGTCCAACTAAGTGCAGATACCTGTTTGGTTTAGGCCACTGTAGCACAGAACTCCCAGTTCAAGAGCTCAGGAGTGCCACTAGCCTAAGCTTCCTTGGTAGCTGGGAATAGAAGCTGGCCACCGTGCCGAGTCTCAACAAGCTTTTATTGAGCACAGAAAAGGAAGAAAAAAGTCCTTGCCCTAAAGAAATTTCCATTCAAGTAGAGGAATCAACATGTAAATAACCAGATACAGAAAAAATAGAGAAAACATAGATGGAAGGTAAAATCAGAGGGGAAGGCATCAACAGTTTGTGGGAACAGGAAAAGCCTTCTGTAGAAGGTGAGATTTGTGCTAAATCTTGAAGGAATCCAAGGAACCTAAGAGCCAGAGAGGAGAGAATGTATTCCAGGCATGGAAAACAGGCACAAAAAGGGCACAGAGACAGGACATGGAGGGTCAATAGGCCAGTGCAGCTGAATCACAGAATGTGTGGAAAAGAGTAGTGTAAGGAGACTAGAAAGGTAAGAAGGAGTCAAGTTGTGAATAGTTTTAAATGTCAAACAAGAAATTTCATATTTGCTACTAGAATAGGGAGCCCCTGGAGTTTACTGAGGGGGAAAGTCAGACCTATGCTTTAGAAAAATTGCTTGAGAAGATGACAGAGCAGCAAGAAAGACCAGACAAGCTGTCCCCCACAACTCCTCCACAAATATCTAGAAAATACAACAAACTGAGTTTTCATAAAGAAATCCAAAGAAAAAAAAAGATTCCAAAATTAACAGAGGAAAGGAAAGCTGTGGTTATAGTTTCCCTAGATAATAAGAAAGCTTTTGAGAGAATATCTTATACTATTCTTACGGAGAAATGGATTAGACAATAATAAAATGAGATAATTTTTTAAACTACTTCAGCAGTCAATGTTAATTTAAAGAATGCAAACTAATTTTTAAATTAGTATATATAAAATCAACATAAAGAAGAAAATCTACTGTTGTTATTTAGCACAAAAAATCAAGAGCTAATTCTACTTGAATAAGCTCAAGTGCAACAGAAAAAATTGCCTGACTTTAATTTGGAGAATAACTTCTACTTCCCAGTGTCACATGTGAAAGAACCAAAGAAATCACTTCACAGGAACAAACTGTCGCCTCTAGCCATTCAGCTGTAGGCTTCTCCTAACACAACCCCACTACAAAGTTTTCCATCTCCAGCACACATTATATATTCCACTGCTGTAATTTGCACATTCCATGTGGATGCTCAGAAATGTAGGATTACTTGGGTAGAATAAGAATCTTTAAAAGGTTAATATTAAAATAGGTTATAGAAGTTAATCTTTTACTCAAATGAGAATCAAATTTAGAAAAATAATTCATAATAATGGTAAATTTTGGAGTTATACCTGGTTATCTTTGTATCTACTGAGATCTGCTATGCAGTATTCTTTGAATAATTTATCATAGTATTTCTTTGCAAGCCTCTTCTCCCTGGAGCCAGAAATATATAAATATTACAACTTTAGAAATCTAACCAGAATTATTACTTGGAAGCAAGGTCAAATTAAACAACACAAACAGAAAATACAATTATTGATTTTAAAAGACGTAGATGAAAGTGCATTACAAGTACAATTTCACTGAGAAATTTAATAATTTTTTAAAGATGCAAGTCAAATAAATGAAAGTTTAAATAAAATTGCCAGGAATTAGCAAAGACTCAAGAAACACTCTCCTATCTTAGAAATGTTCTAATCTTTGCCTAGGAGAAGTCCCAAGAAGTAGTTTGGGCCTGTTGGCTAGTTACTAGAGCAGCTCAATAGTTAGTTACAGGAACAGCTCAATAGAAATTTTCCTCTCTACTTTTCCAACCAAGGTAACAATATGAATCTGAAAATCAACCATCAAAGAACCTCAATGTGATGTGTCCCCATGTAATAAAAATTACCAAGTCATGTCCATTTCATCTTCTTCATTCCATAGGAATTTATGATTTTCTCTTATAACATCCAAGTCTGTCTTGTCATTTTCCCTAGAAAAGATAATGTTTTAGGAATTATTTAATTTAAATATAATTTCAAACAAAAGTGCATGCCCAGATTCACCAGTGTTTGGGGTAAATTTATCCCAAAGAGGCCATTCAGCAGACATTACAATCACAGATATGCATGGTTGACTGTAAAAATTTCCTAGTAGTACTTGGTCAGAGAAAAAACAAAAGAGAGAGAACAAAAACAAAGCAAAATAAAAGGAGTCCAAGAGCTGTTCCTGGAATAGAAGTTGTGGGGTTATACAGATCCTCACACCTATGTAGAATAATTTGTAAATGTAGCCTTTACTATACCAAATTTTATATCCATGATGACTAACAGATTAAGCAAAAAGACAAAGCATTTAGTAAGCACTTATTATATGCTAAGCACAATGGGGATACAGCTGAAAGTGGCCTGGAGGCTTGGATCTCCACAAGACAAGGCAAAAAGCTTACCTATCAGAGCCAAGGATCCAGAGGTAAAGTCCAAATGTCTGGTATGATGAAGATGGAAAAAGAAAAGGGCCACGATAAGGGGACAAACAGGGAAATAGCAACCTGGGCTCCAGCAAGAAAAGGCAAAGTTTACCCATCAGATTTGGAGGACCAAGGTAGACACCAGTACAACACATCTTCAAGGCCATGAAACTAAGAAACACTACACCTCTAATTCACATAACTTTCAGCAAGGCTATATAAACTATACACTTCTGATTTACATAAATTTGTCATTATAATACTTACCCTGAACGTCTGAAATCTTCTTTTTTACCACCATAATACAAAATATAATCATTCACCAATTTCTTGTGTCTTTCATACTGAAATATGAAAAATTAAGGAATTTTTACCCTTAAAAGCTATTGTTACTTCATTAATTAATGGTATGCTGCTTCATAATGCCATTCATTCCAATAATCAAATAATGAAATACAGAATTTCTCATTTCTAGAAACATAAGGGGAATTCACTTTTCTGCCTAGAAAAATAAGATTTGGCTAACCTGGCATAATTCAAGATTGCGGAGAATAAACTACAAATTTTAAAACTGAATTGTACATTTAAGAATTCTGATCAACACAATGGATCCAATTCCAGGGAATTCATGATGAAACATACTATCCACCTCTAGACAGATAAGGTGACAGACTTGGAATGCAGACTGACACATTTTTTAGACATGACTGATGTGGCAATTTGACTACACATATTTGTAGCAGGTTTTGGGTTTTTTTTGCTTTCTCAATGGGTGGGGTAGGGGAAGAGAATGGGAGTGAGAGGATTCAGAACTGAAAATAAAATAAAACTGAATTAAATAAAAAACGATCTCACTTATAGGTTCATAAAATAAAAATCCACTTATAAAATGACAGACAAAAGCAATATTGTTTTCAGAATGAAGTGTGATTTAAATTGCTCTAAATATACATTACATATAAAGCTTATAAATCAATAAGATGGAACACTCACTAAAAATTTTAAAATTATGATTATAATCTTTAACTCAGAATCACAGAATTTTACATTTGGAAGGGAACTCAGAAGGCATCTAGTCCAATTTGCTGGAAATACAAATCTTTCTACACATCTCCCTAAGAGTGGTCATCCATTCAGTTTTGTAAATGGAATTATCTTTTGCAAGAGGCCTTTTAAATAAAATTCATAAATAATAGTTATTCATATTTAAGTAGTACTATAAGGAAGTGGGAAAATCAATGAAGATTTTTAATAGATGAGTCACTTCTCAAGGCATTTATAGTAATTCATTTATTTATTAGTTTACCCATCAGTTCCCTCCCCCTCCTCCCCCACCCCAATTTCCCTACCTCCAGTAAGGTGGAACTGACTTGGGGAAGTAGTAAAAGGGAGGAGAGGAAAAACAAAACATCTAAATAATACTGGCTCTTCCTACCTCTGGCTATAGCAATAGTTGCCCTGATCCACATCATGTTTCAGTGGAGTTCTTTTCATCTCCCAGTACTTTCAACAGCAATATGGACAGGCCAGTAGTCAGGAAAAACTGAAAATGTGGGTCAGTTCCATGTAGAAACTGAACTGGGGCCATTGTTTCAGGTACAAGGTTTGTAGGGAGAAGGAAACTTTAAAAGGCTATTTTAGATGCCAAAAGCCACAGCAGGCCTAGGAACATACCACAAACTGACCTAACTAGAGCCTTCAGGTACAGGTTCTGCAGAAATTTTAAATGTAAAAGGTCACGAGGTGGAAGGTCATTACAAACCAGACAAAATGAAGTAGGAAAGACAAGAAAAACTTATACAAGCTGGTGTATTTCTTAAATCTCTCTCTAAGGCTTCAGAAATGTTTTATTCTTTCCTGTCACTGTCTTAACTTAAGGTGTTAATAAAATATAAAATGTTATTCATTAGGATAAATGGAAAAATTTTAGTTCAATAATGACATATATATATTCAATAATGAAAAATATACCTCTAAATTTCTAGAGAAGATTTCACTGAAATAAAAAAAGATTTTTCAATGTTCAATTCATTAAAGGAATGAGAATCATTAAAAGGATACAGCGTTCATCGCTATTAGATGAAACCTCCTATTTCTTGCTTCTTCCCTGTTAAAAGGAATTTTAAGAACATTAAAAGTTCTAAAATTTTTATACACTCAAATCCCCTAGGTTTATATAAATAAACATTACATAAACCATGAAAAAAATTTACAAACTCAAAAGTTCACAATAAAATATCTTACCGATCCAGCTCCTGTGCTGCAACACGTCTATGAGCCACTTTTGCATATTTTTCTTTCTGAAATGGCTTTTTTAGCAATGAATCTTCATTAATTGTCCTAGTGCATTAAGTATGAGGAAAAAAGAATACATGTTTCTAGTTAAAATAGTTTTTCTGGCATTTCATATTTTCCAATTAGGTAATATATTTTAGGACATTCAGCAATAAATTCCAAATAAATGTAATAGAAGCTCAATGTTTGGCCTAAAAATGAAACTACTGACCTTGAAGTAATAATTTCCTATCTCTACAACTTGAATTTTCATACCTCTAAAATGGAAAAAAAAACATTTACCACATCCTTACTTAATAGGGGTTCATGTGTATAAATAAAGATCTTTAGACGGCTCGGCTCTTCCAGCTCTCAAATTCTATCATGCTAGGATGATGAACTTCCTTTGGGCATTTTTAATTCCTTCATTGAGAAGCATTACATAAGGGCAAAATTACTTAATTGGCCATCAAAATAAACTAGGCATTTGATTCATAAGCCTCAGTCTAGGATTCAATTCTCTCAGTAATATATTAGAAAGACAACGTGCTGCTATCCTTTTCCTTCCAGCTCTGCTTCTAACTTTCCAGACTTTGTCACCATGCTTTAGTTGCTTTCTCACCCTGAATGTTGTCAGCACCAGTCCCTTTCTCCCACTGGTATGTTCCTCTCAGAGAACCTTTTTGAAGAAGGGTACCAGACAGTCATCCAGCACTCCTCTCCTGGCTTTGCTTTTTGCTCTCCAAATCGTTACTCCTATTCTCCCCCACCTTTCTTTAAGCTTCCTTTTAAGTGTGTCTTCCCACATTAGAATGTAAGCACCTTGAGGACAAGGACTGTCTTTTCACTTCTACTGGTATCCTCGGCGATGGGCATTACAGCTGCAGACTGCAAACCATCTATGCCCACTTATCCAGGGTGACTCTTGTTCATGTCTTCCATAAATTCTCCAGAAAGGTGACCACTCGAGCACTGGAAGCTTTCCTCCCTTACTATGCCACTGCAAGGGTAGCCATGCAACACTCTGGCTGTCCATTTGTCATCCCTAATTCCTGCTAAGTGACCAACCCATCTTCTTTTCCTTTTCTTTTTCCTTCCTTTTCACCTTTAAATATGATATGATTTTTACTGGAGTCAATAAAGCTTCCCATGAAAGCAAAGACTATCTTTTGAATAGTTATAAATATATTGCATATGGTACAGAGTTATACTATACATTTTTAATTTCAGTCTTAATATATTCTTTTAAAGCATTTTGCCCTCCTTGGCTATGGCTATCCTATTTCATTTGCCATACAATTGCTCTTGGCTATTATATCATATATTTTCTGTACATATTCAATGGGGAGAAGATGTGCTGTGCTACACTTTACTCAATGTCAATAGACTGGCTATATCCTAGGAATTTATCATTGATAGATTTGTCTTATGATTTATGACTAGTATAGAGAGGATGCTGATGAAACTGAATGAGAGGTACAAAGCAGGAGTAGACCTAACAGGCACAAAGAATAAGTTCTTAGATCTTCAGTCTGGAAACTCAGTGTTAACGCCACACTATTTCAATTACCAAAAGGACATACTGACCTTCTAGATTCAATTTTATACTTTCTTATATCACTGCATCACTAAAGAGTATGATGCTGAAATACAAGAAATGATTAGCTGTTTTCAGCTTTACAGTGTTGATGGAAACCTTTAACATTAGTAAGTAAAAATTCTTGACATATAACAGTTATTCCTTAATGCAGCCTAATAGTATATGAACTTCAAGCAAAGACTGGATGACCATTTTGTCAGGTATGTTGTAGAGAAGATTCTTGTTTGGGTAGGGGTTGGATAGATGGCTTCTAATATCCCTTCCAACTGTAAGACGCCATGATTCATTAGACCCTATCACTATGCTAGCTCTTGCAAATTGGCCCAATTATCATTAGCATGTCTAAACATTCAGTAGCCCACAAGGTGTTATTAGTAAATTTTTTTTAAAGCAAACACACCATAATGTACATAAATAAATGCACATTATTCCCTTCAAAGTAATCAACTTGGTAGACTCTACACATTCCAATGAAGCTAATGTTGCTCAAAACACTTTTGGAATCTTCTTCACGGCTTGCAACATAATCTTTTGAATAGTCTCAAAGGTGGTAAGTCGTCATCCTTTGAGGATGAGGATGGAGGTAATTCAGATCTACGTGTTAAATAAGATGGATAATCAAACTATGTCACAGTATTTTTTCATTAAAAATTGTTTCAAACAAAGCCTACTGTGAAAACCCTATAATGGTAAAGAAGCTAATCACTGATGTGTGATTCATTCCATTTTTGTCATGAAGAATTTCTCAAAAAATTTTAGAATTTCTACTTAATTAATTTAGGTGAATGTTTACCTTTGTAAGATAAATCACATCACTTAATTTCATAAAGCCTTTCTTGATATCCCAACCATTTGTTGCTTCTCCTTCCTCTGAACCCCACGAAATGAAAAGCACTTTGTTTTATCTCCCTGATGACACATCACATTTTGTCTTTTATTAAAGCTTAGGATTTTGAAGTCCTAGACAATAAAACTAAATACTCTGGAAGTATATATTGGTGGGTTTTTTAATCATTTCTGTTGACTAAAGGTAGTAAATTCAGAAAAGACAGGAAGAATTGAAAAAGTGAAGAACAAACTAAAAAGACTATGTCCAAGAATAGGATTTTCATATCTAAACCATGGCTTAAAATAAGTCAGCTTTCTTGAAGTCTTATGAATTTAAAAAAGTGAGCTTTAAACTAAAAAAGGGGGAGGGGAAGGGAAAACAGCCCACAGAGATCTGAAAAGCCTAGTTCCATATAGAATAGCAGGTACAACACAGGAAGAGGAACCAACAAGGGAGTTCCAGAATAGAGTTCTGGATCTGATTCTCACCCACAAGAGAGAATTGGCTACTGGACTGGAAATGCTATGAACTGACCACTCACTTAAAGAGTTTGTGCTAAGAGAGGTGAGGCCATAATGTGACATACATTCTAAATTTTGGGAAAGTAGATTTTAAAGAGTTAAAAAGAATAGGTATACTCTATGCATTTTCCATCTCTTGCTCTGGCAACAGTAAAAAAAAACATCAGTGCTACCACTGCTACTAAAAAAGAAGTGAAAATTGACTACCCTTTAGTCCTACTCCCAATCTCTATGACTCCAAAAACCAAAACTCCTTTCTCTGCCTTCTCTGGTCATCTCTTCCTAATATGTGTTCTTTTCCCTATTAGAATGTAAGCTCCTTGAGGGCTGGAACTATTTTACTTTTGTATAATTTATCCTTAGCACCTAGCAAAATGCCAGACACATAGCAGGCACTTAAAAATTTTTTTTCACAGGGCAGCTAGTTGACACAGTGGATAGAGCACCAGCCCTGAAGTCAGGAGTACCTAAGTTCAAATCTGGACTCAGACCAAACACTTGACACTTACTAGTTGTGTGACCCTGGGCAAGTCACTTAACCCCAACTGCCAAAGCAAAAAAAAAAAAGTTTTTTCACTCATTCATTTAATAATTCATTCAATAATGTGATATGACAGCCTTTTAAAAAACTAATGCAATCTCGTGCTGCATTAAGATAAAGAAAGTTTCTAGTAGGTTCAGTTCTGGTCACCATATTACAGGAAAGTGAGTATTCAGAGAAAGGTGACTAGAATGATGAAAAGCCTCAAGTCCTTGCCATATCAGGATCCACTCAAGGAACTGGGGATATTTGGCGTGGAGAACGGAAGATTCAAGGGGCACATGACAGCTATTTTCAAGAACCTGAAAGTCTGTCATGTGGAAGAGGGATTAGACTTCTTCTGTCTGGCCCCAGATGGCCAGTGGGTGGAAGTCACAACAAGGTAAATTTAGACTTGGTATGAGGAAAAACTTCCTAACATTCTAAGCTATCCAAAAGTGAAATGGGCTATCTGTAGAGGACCTGGGTTCTCCCCCAAGCTAGATGTCTTCAAGCAAAGGCTATGTAATCACATGTTATGTGTGTTGTAGTCAATGTTTCTTTTTCAGATATGGGTTGGACTAAGACAGTGAGGCTCCTAAAACTTCTGTAATACTGTAATTCTGGTAATACCAGAAGAAACAGAAGACAATGTCCAAGAAGAGGGCCAGCAATAAAACTCATGACATCAGATGTCTAAATTCAAATGCACAAAGTGTGGAGTAATAAACAGAGTCAACTAGAGATCTTAATACAAATACAAGGAGGAAAATATGACCTCAAAGGCACTTGATGGGATAGGACTCAGAACTTGAATATGGCTTTACAAGGATATGAATTATTTAAAAGGAATAGAATGAATTAAAGGAGGTAAAGTAATATTGTATATTAATGAAATAAGCTCCTGTGAAGAAATCCATTAGCCAGAGGAGAGAAATATGGTAGAGACTAGGCAAGGAACAATAAGAGGGAAAATGAAAAGTGACACTGTTGCAGGGATATATTATGTACATTACGTGAATAGAAAGAAAAATTAGATGAAGAGTTTGGAAAACATCACAAAATTGGCACAGAACCATGATACTGTAGTGGTCTATGGCTTAAACTATTCAAACATCTGCTGGAACTCTCTCACTACCAAAAGCAGAGGAGCTGAAAATTTGTGACCTGCTTCACTGATAATTTTATCCTTCAAAAGATATAAAGAGAAATAAGGAAGGACTACAAATCTTAAGCCAATTATGACAAACTAGGAGGCAATGACTGCTGATGCAGAAAGACACTGGAAACCTCAAAGGCAAATAAAGTAGGTCCTCCAAGAAAGGAAGTCATAATCAGTTTCACAACAGAAACAAGTTTTCCTTGTTTCTGCTACCTTACCAGAAATGGTAAGAGGATCAAAGAATACACCACAAATGAATCAGCTGAAGAAACTACTATTTTTTTTAGCTAGAAAAGAGAAGACTTAAGGAGAACTAGGTAGCTGTCTATGATTATCTAAAGGGCTATGATGAGGAAAAGGGAGGACATTTATTTTGCTTGGCCCCAGAATCAAAATCAGGATTGGTGGGTATATGTGTAAAAAAAAAAAGGCAGATATGTTTGACATAAGGAAGAACTTCCTAATAATTAGAGATGTCCAAAAGTACAATCAGTTGGAAATTTTTAAGCAAAGGCAGCATGACTACTTGGTAAAAATGTTATGGAAGAGAATCTTGTTAAGGTTAGAGTATATGACTAAGGTCCCTGCCAATCATCACATTCTATGCCTATGCTTCATTCACTCCCTTTCTTCTTCTTTCATACTATCTAACCACAGCACCTTACACAAAATAATTGACTGATATATGAATTAAATCCAATTCAACAAATGTTTGAGTGTGTACTGTATGTACTATACTGTATTTAGAATGAGTAATGCATAAACAGCATCAAAGATGTCAAAAAACTAGTGAAAAATTCAATTGTGATTCTAACATATCTACTCTTTAAAAGTTTTGGCATGTTTCCACTTCTTTCTTTGATGTTTCATTGCTAGCATGAGCTGTGAATACTATATTCAATTACTAGTTACTATTTTCCACACATAAATATTATATTATTTTATTTTATAGTACTTCCATCGAGAGGTCAGAAATGGTCAAATCAAACTTTCTTGTTCATCACTCAAGATATGAGATAATATTCACACAAAGAATTTGGAACGACAGTAAGGAGCCAATAAAGGAAAAGGAAGACTAGCAGTTAGAAACATAGTAAAAAAAAAAAGAGACAACAGGATCACTGAAGCCGAGAGATTAGAAAGTGCCTAATAGAGGGAACAGCCAACTGTATATAAAGCTGAAGAGGGATAAAGGAGGATAAGGACACAAAAAAGGTCATCAGATTTGGTAATGATGGCCTTTGGGACGTGAGAAAATGATTGAAAACAATTAAGAAGAAAGTCAAAAGTGAAAACAAAATGTATGGAGATGGAATGATAGGAGGTTATAGTTAGCTGGAGGAATTTCAAAATTCTTGATCATAAAGTGGAATAAATTGATTGACTATGTTAAGAACAATTTAAATAAATGGGTGGATTAGCTACCTATGAAAATCTTGCCAGAAGTAGAATGTCCTAAGAAATTCTGACTAGGTAGGAAAATATTGATGAGGGGAGAGTATATCCCCAAAATCTCATTAAGAAAACAATATTCTGAAGTATAATTTATAATAGTAACTCACTTTTATGCAGTATTTTAAGGTTTACAGAACACTTCACCCCATGAGGTGGATAATAAAGAGATAAAACATTATATAAATGTGTGCACCATTATCCCCATTTCACAGATGAGAAAAATGAAGTTTAAAGAAACTGACATACTCATTGTCACACAACAAAGAAGTGTCAGAGCTACATCTCTACAGGGTCCTCTGACTCCAAAACTAGTGACCTTTTTACTACACAATGATACAATCTGGGAAACTATAACTTAAGGTAAAACCAGAAATTTGATAAGTAATATCAAGAGTTGGCTAGTAAAAAACATTTATAATGTTTCTCTAGCACAATCAAAAGGAAGACAAACTCCAAGATTCTAGACAATAAATGCTGGTAGGTTAAATAGAAAATTTCTGGACTGGAGAAAGGCAATTCACCAAGCTACCACAATGTGACAGAAATGCTGCTTGAAGAACATCAAACTCCCTTTGCCCTAATTCTATTCTCAGTAAGGAACCTTTTTAGCTATAATTTGGTATTAGTAAATATAGCTACCAGGAGTGCCTTGTGTACATATGACACATCCCAGTTACAGTAACAAGTATATATTTTCCATTATACATTAATAAATTGACAACATGAGTCAGTCTCTTCTAAGTTTGGTTAACGTGAATCAGCCCCTAAAAACTTGATCACCCCTGATGAATTTATAAAGTCAAATTTCCAAACCTACAAAGCTAAGGGACCCTGGAACATAGTGATCTTGCCAAGGTACAGCCACCCAAAAGGCCCAGCTGAATTAATCAGCTAGACTCTCTCTACTCATCTTAATTACAATCAAAGGCTCAGTCCATTCATCCAAGTTACTATTTAAACTTGGCTTTATACTCTTGGCTTTCATTTTGCAGCAAAGCATTAGGAAAGAAAATGGATCAGGCAAATTCTCAGAGTTAACAAAATCTCAAGCAAAGCATGTTTCATAAATGAATAATATATGCAACAGATGGACCTAACAGCTTTGATCTTTTTTCCTTCTGTTTTCTGAAAAACATACACTGCCAACAAATCCATCCTATAGCACCATTATTTTCTTAATTTTTCAAAACAGTTCTCAGCATCACAGTACACTGGAAAGAAATTTTTATTCATTAGAAATACAATCATCTGCAGAGGTATGAAAATATTCTGCACAAAATTTAAGATAAGAGTTAGGTACCTTTTTCTTTTTTTAGGTTCTCCACAGTTCTCATCATCACTAAAATCAGAGTCATAGCTTCCATGGCCATGTATCTGAAAAGAAATAAGAGAAACTGACTGCTTGTAATCTTACTACAAGAAATTGACTTCAAATTATTTCGTAATGTGAACATTTGAAATAATGTCTGAAATTATATAAACGTTAGCTTGAGACACTTTTTACAGAATAAGTTTAATAACTAGCAAAATGCAACTAGATGATACAGAAGATAGAGACACTGGTCCCAGAATCAGGAAAATTTGATTTCAAATCTATCCTGAGACATTTACTAGCTGTGTGACACTGGGCAAGTCACTTAACCTCTAACTGCCCTAGTTTCCTAATCTGTAAAACAGTGATAATAATAGCACCTACCTTCCAGGATTGCTGTGAGGATAAAACAAGATAAAATTTGCAAAACTCTTTGCAAACCTTAAAACATTTCATAAATGTTAACTGTTATTATTATTTGAAGAAGGAAATGGTGAACCACTCCAGTATCTTTGCGATGAAAACCCCAAAGAGGGTCACAAAGAGTTGGATATGACTGAAAAATGACTGAACAAATTATTATTATTATTATTATATGACAATTACAACAAAGTTCTTATGAAAACTGTGCAGATCACATTCATTGCTTTATGATCATATTATACATATATAGGAAAACCTTTTTTTCACAAAATAGGATAATATTATTCATGTTGGGTATACATAGGCTACAACATATTACCAATGACAAATTGCACATGTGAATCAATCTAATTAAAAAATATGTCACTGGAAAATTTTACTTAATAGAGTGATAGCTTTAGAGTCAAGAAGACTAGAGTTCAAATCCAGCCTCAGATACTTACTAGCCATGTGACCCTGCTCAAGTTCTTAATTTCTCTCAACCTCAGTTTCCACATCTCTAAAATAGAGATAATAATAGCACCTTCCTCTCAGGGTTGTGAAGATCAAATGAAATCATAAACATAAAGCACTTTGTAAACATTAAAGCACTATATGAATGTTAGCTTTTATTACTATTATTATTATTATTATTATCACATAGCCAGGTGAAGACATAACACACAGGCCACATAATCCACTACTACTAATGCAATGTAAAGAGGTCTAGAGGAAAACCAACTGAACTTAGGGTGGACCTCCTGTGGTGAATTTATGTACAGAGAAGGCAGGGACAGGTTGTGGCTTGTACCACTGGAAGTACCTCTCATCAATGAGATCTACTAAAGTGCTCAAGTTAAAAGTGTAAGCATTATTGTCTGGACTAGAGATTGAAGGCTCTCAAGATATCGTCTAGTTATAGTACAATGGCTCAACCTTTTCTGTGTCTGGCCCCTTTCTGGTGAAACTTACTAATCCCTTCTCAGAATAATGATTTCAAACATACAAAAACAAAAGATTACAAAAAAAGTATATTGAAATAAAGATATATTTTTTCCCATCTAAGTTTATGGACCCCCTGAAATCTATCCCCAGGCTAAGAATACCTAATCTAGTCCAACATCTCATTTTATAGATGAGTGAAATGAGACTTAGAGAAAGGGAAATGACTTGCCCAAAGTCAAACAGGCATTAAATGACATGACTATGAATAAAATCTCTGACTCCAGATCAGTGCTCTTTATATCATCATACCACACTGGCTCAGCTAGTCTTCATTCATTCATTTATTCAGCCAGCATTTATTAAGTGCCTACTACATGCCAGGTACCATAATACGCAATGTAATACAAAGAGGGCAAGCAAAACATATATAAATGAATCAACATAAAGTAATTTACAGAACAGAATGCCAGCAACTGAGGATGAAGTTAGATCTTGTGTATTAGATAGTGACATCTAACTCTTGTTTTTTAGATGAGGAAACAGGCCCAGAGAATTAAGGTGATTTGCTGTCATTCACACCAAAAAAAAGTTAAAATAACTTTAGAAGCTAATGCTTATATCCAAGGATGCTTCACTCCAAATATTCTAATCTTTTAAACATCTCCAGAGGGGATTTCCATGAACTGTCTCTGTAGCCTTTTTCTTACGACTTTCACTGTCATTATGTTTCCTAATACCCACCTTAAATTCCTACAGTTGCAATTTGGGCCATTTTTTTTTGTTCAATTGTGTAATCAGTGAAATAGTTATCATCCTATACAATAACTTCTATATTATCCAACATGGTCAAGAATAAAGTGCTTGTTAATTCTTTACCCACCATTTGAAAAAACTGAGGGTAAAAAAATATGCTAAGGTTTTTTTTAATATTTCAAGGAAAATGAAGTGTAAAAAAGAAAAGTTACAAAGGAACTGAGGAATAAAAATCAACCCTTTTTCACAGTGCTAACTCCTGGAGGTCTACATAATAAAATCTGATCTTATTTAAATAACTTCTTAGGTTCTTAATAACAGCTCATATTTCTAGAGCACCTTGAGGTTTATAAAGCACTTTCTTCACAACAACCCTAAGGTGGGTAGCCCTATTCTGCCAGCCAAGGTCGAAGCCACGCTGGCCTACTTGCAGGTTCTCCAACACAACTTGCCTCCCCCGTGTTTGGGATGCTCTGCTCCTTCCCCTCCACCTCTTGGTGACCCCCTGCTAATGCCTTCCCTTTTTCTCTGGTGTCCTTGTATGTCCCTACATGGTTACGGGTTGTGCCCATGAGGACGAGCCCTCCTACTGGTGGCCGTCCGGGTTTTCGTTTCACGTCTCAGTATTTCCAGCTCGTGCCACATAACAAGCTGGCCGGCTTCTATACATGACGTCACTGCCTCCGGAGCGCGTACGCGCTTCTGTTTACACCACACCGACACTCCCCCTCCCCCACCCCGGAGTCAGGGGGAAGCTCCCTGAGGGCAGGTGGAATTTCGCGGGTCTCGGTAACGCTGAGAATAGCAGCCTCTGTAGGGCAGTGTCAGGAGGGGGAGGGGGAGGTGACGGATGAGGGAGGGGCTCCAGTTGTCCTCCCCCCACCCTGACGGCCGGGGTCCAGCCTCAAATCCCCGCTTCTAGAAGCCCTCGACTGTTAGGAACATAAGAGGTCAGGGCCGGGTCTCACAAGCTCGAGAGGCGAAGCCTCCAGACCCGGACGCAGACCCCGGAGGGTCCACGCGGCCGCCCCCGCCTCTCCTCCCGCAGCTCGCGCCCAGGTTCCCCCAGCTCACACACCCCCGGACCCGCCCCCGATGCTGCAACGACCACGCACCGCCTGAGAGAGCCGCTGCTGGGCCGCCTCCATGGTCGGCAGCCGCACAGCCTCACGGGAACCGCCCCTCCAGCCTCGCTCTCCTCTGGACCCCGGATCTCAGGGGCTTCTTCCGCCTGCCCCGCTCCGCCGCTGGTGCCACCAGGGAAAAGCGCCGGCCCCCGCTTCCGCGAAAGGCCGCTGCTGCCGCGTCCTGTCGCCTAAAGGGACCGGTCGGAAACCCGGGTGCCGGAAGAGACGCCTTGGAGCTTTCGCGAACCCTGGACCCTGCGAGGCGAACGTGCTAACGTGCTCCAGCGGCCCACCGTCTGATAGGATGCTGGCGCTTAGAAAAGCCCTCTTTGGAACAAACTGTGGCGAATATAAGCAGACACACACAAATATAGTCTCATCCTCCCCTCCTCCCCTTCCCTCTTTTCTTTTCTCCCACCCTTCCTCTCTCCCTCCTTCCCCTCCCTTCTCCCTCTTCCCCTCCCCGCCCTCATTCTCTCTTCCCCTTTCCCTCCTGTCCCCCTTTACATCTCTCTCTCCCATTTATTTTTCCCTTTTCCTTTCCCCTCCTGCCGAGGACCCCCACCCCCCACCCCGCACGCGCGCTCTCCAGTCATCTGCAGCTTGTTACAGCATAAACCATGATGTTATGGTCATGGCGGGTTATTTGCAAATACTTAATCATGAGCACTTCAATAAAAGACATTTGTAAAAGAGGGATTTGTAAAGCCCTTAGTGCAGTGCCTGCCACATAGTAGATGCTTTAAAAATGCTTGTTACCCTTTCCACCAAATTCTTCTTGTCTTTAGGTATACGATAAGCCCTATTTCTCTATTTGCCTCTCCAAGGAAAACCTGTGAGCTATCCTATTTATCTGCAATTTTGTTCTTCTGATTTAAATGATGGTAAAAATAATAGCTAAAATTTATATAATGCTTACCATGTGCCAAGTGCTTTACAATTACCCTACAAAGTAGATGCTGTTATCCCATTTTACTGCTGGGGAAACTAGGGCAAGGAGGTTAAATGACTTGCCTAGGGTCATACAGCTTGTAAGTGTGTGAGACTGGATTTGAACTTACCTCTTCCGACGCTACACCACCTAGCTTCCCCTCTATAGTGAGAAGACTACATAGAAAGCATATTATCAAATTTGTAGATGGCAGAGCTTGAATAGTTAACATAATGGATGACAGAATTAAGATCTAAAAAGATCTTGAAGTGTTAGAACAATGGACCAAATGTTGATGAAATTTAATTGGGTCCTTATGAAGAAATTACACTAAAGTCTTCATGGTGTGGAGGTAATCCTGGGTTCTCAAAGGCTGTGCCAATGAAGTGTGAACTCTGACAGGACAACTTGTATAGTTGTCATCTGAGGAGAGACACTGTGTCTCCCATCTTGTTTAATTTTCGATGACTATCCCCAATGTCTGGAATTCTGTCCACAAAAGAAATCCCAGATGTCAAGTAATTACTTGGTCATCTGCTTTTTCTCATAAGAATAAAGCTAAACAACCTCCAGGGCAGTGGCACATAGTAGGCACTTGAAAAACTTTTGTTGTTTGACTATAACATGGATTAAATGTTAATTGAATCACTGCAAAATTATTTAGTCAAAAGAACAAAGCAGCCTTTTAAGAGGCATTTGACTAGCTTCCTGGCTTTCTTCAACTCTCAGCTAAAATCACACCATCTACAAGAAGGTCTTCCTGGTTCCCTCCCCCTAGTGCTAATGCCTTCCTTCTAAGATTATTGCCAATTTATCCTAATCACCACCTCCCTAAAAAGCCACAACAAATCCAATGTCTTTTTTTCAATATTCATTCCCTCGACCTCTCTGTAGCCTTTGATATTGTTGATCATTCTCTTCTCCTTGACACTCCCTTCTTTCTAGGTTTTCAGAACAGCAGTCTCTTGGTTTTCTTCCTACCTATCTGATGTCTCCTCTGTCTCTTTTGCTGGATGGTCTTCCACATCATGCTTTCTAACCATAGATGTCCATAAGGGTTGTGTCCCGTGCCTTTTCTTCTTCCTCTATACTACTTCACTTGGTGATCTCATCAATTCCCAAGGCTTTAATTACTATCTCTATGCTGATAATTCTTAGGTCTACTTATTCGGCCCCAAACTTTTTGCTGACTTCCAACCTTGCATTTCCAACTACCTTTCAGTCATCTTAAACTGGAGGTCTGGTAGGCATCTTAAACTCTCTATGTCCAAAACTGAACTTGTGACTTTTCCCCCTAAAACTACCCAACCACACACACACCTTCTCTATTACTTATTAACAAATGACCCCCCAGGGCCATAAAGGAACTGGAAATGAAATAGAATCCATACACCAACTAAAAGCATTTATTGTCTGAGAAAAAGGCTTGTAGGGGAGAGAAGATCCTACAAGGGAGGAAAGAGACAGACAGAGAGAGAGAGAGAGAGAGAGAGAGAGAGAGAGAGAGCAGAGAGAGAGAGAGAGAGAGACAGAGAGACAGAGAGAGAGAGAGAGAGAGAGAGAGAGAGACAGAGACAGAGACAGAGACAGAGACAGAGACAGAGAGAGAGTTCTTCAGCTGCTCAAAGGGGAGTGGGAAAAGGAGATATTATAGTTTCTAGATGCTCTTGTGCAGGGAGCAGGGGTTAAGGGAGAAGACGTCTGTAGATACAATAAGCCAGGAAGCAGCATGTTTAGAAACTCCCAAGCAAAGCCTTAAGTCTGCAGCTTCTGCTGGAGGTTGCCCTTGAGCTGATCAAGGCTGGTTCTGTGGTTTCTGGCAGCTACAAGCATCTTCAAATTGGGCTAGAGTGCACTCGCAAAGGATCACTGGTATGTCAAGTAGCATTTCACCTCAGAAATCCTTGTAATTGAATGGTTGTTGTGCAACTCCATCATCCTGCTCCCCTGTGAAGAAGGGAATTTCTAACATATGTTATAGTCATTACCGAGCCCACCTTAACATAGTGTAGAGGACAATACCATCCTCCCATCCCTCAGGCTCACAATGTAAGTGCCATCCTCAATTCCTCACTCTCTCTCACCCCCCATATCAACGCTAATCGATTTCACCTTTGCAGCATCTCTCCAGTAAGCCCCCTTCTTTCCTCTGAAACTGTCTCCCCTCTAGTACAGGCCCTCATCACCTCTTATCTGGACTATTGTAATAGCTATTACAATAGCCTGCTGGTGGGTCTGCCTGCCTCAGGTCTCTCCCTATTCCAATCCATCCTTGCTTCGGCCACCAAAGTGATTTTCCTAAAGCGAAGTTCTGAACATGTCACCTCCCTACTCAAACTCCAGTGGCTCCCTATTGCTTCTAGGATCAAATACAAAATGCCATATTTGGCATTTGAAGTCCTTCATAACCTACCTCCCTTCAACATTTCCAGTCTTTCTACTTTACGCTCAAAAACATACTCTGATCCAGCAACACTGGCTTCCTCACTGTCCCACAAAGTGCTCCATCTCTCAGCTCTGGGCACTTTCTCTGGCTGTCCTCCATGTCTAGAACTCTATCCCTCTGACCTCCCTTGCTTCCTTTAAGTCCCAACTAAAATTTCACCTTTTACAGGAAGCCTTCCCCAGCTCCTCTCAATCTAGTGCCTTCTCTCAGTAAATTATTTCCTATTTATTCTGTATATAGCTTGCTTTGCATATATATATATATATATATATATATATATATATATATATATTTGCTTTTGTATTGTCTCCCATTAGATTGTAAGCTCTTTGAGGACAGGGATTTCTTTGCTTCTTTTTGCATACCAACCATCCTTAATAAATGTGTGCGTATGTATACATATGTGTATATATATATGTACACACACATATAATTTGTTTTTGCATAGTTGTTTACACTTTGTCTCCTGCATTAGATTGTGAGCTCCTTCAGGAAAGGTTATGTTTCTGTCTTTTTTTGGTATCCCTAATGCAAAGCCCAGTGCCTGGCACATAGTAGGTACTTAATACAATTTTCTTGACGACTCAACTAAGTTTGGAGAAGTGACTCTTGGGCAGATGGCTGCAGAGTGATCGATTTTTGGCTGAAGCATCTCTCAAAAAAGATCTAAGAAGTCATAGAGGGGTTGAAATCAGTGTCAGTGGAGGGCTTGCACAGACCAATGAGATCCTTCAGACAAGTTGTGAGGAAAGCCCTTTGAAAACCTTAAAGCATTACATACATGTAAACTATTGGAGAGATTTTAATCCGATACTAGTTATGGAGCAAGTAACTTTACTTCCTGAAAATCTTAAAGCACTGTGTAAATGTGTTGTTATTACTATAAATGTAAATTCCTATCCAGTCCAAAAAAATCAGCTTCAGAAGTTGAAGGTGATTGAGGTGTGGCTGCACAGCAGTTTGTCTAGAATAGATCTGAATGTACTAGCAGCTCAGTAGGAGTCAACAATGCCACACTGCAGCCAAAAAAACCAAAACCTGAAACAGGATTAGGGTTCATTGAGAAGGTATGGGCCAGGTGGTGCAGTGGATAGAGCACCAGCCCTGGAGTCAGGACGACCTCAGTTCAAATCCGGCCTTAGACACTTGGTACTTACAAGCTGTGTGACCCTAGCAAGTCACTTAACCCCAATTGCCTCACCAAAGGGGGGGGGGGGGAAGAGAAAGTATGTGTGTCCAGAACACAGCAGCTGGTAGAATATTGCTGTACTCTGTCCTGGCCAGATCCCACCTGGAATGAGAATTGTGTGCACCAAGTACCACATTATAGGAAGTATAATGACAAGTGGGAGAGCATCCAAGGAGTCTTTCTATCTCCCCCATCCCCCTTACCCCAGCTACATCCTCAGGACTTCTGCCCTGAAGCTAAACTTTGTTTTCTATGTTTTTTCCCCTAACTATTAGTTCCTTGAGGTAGGGGACGGTCTTAATATGCCTGTTTGTATCCCTAGCACTCAGCCCAGAGCTTGGCACATATTAAACACTTAAATATATTTTCATTTGTTTATGTGACTAAGATTGGGAGGGGCATCAAAACCATGCTCTTTAAAGCTCATTTGAAGGAACTGGGGGAGGTGGGGTTAGTGTTGAGATAGGATGTGATTTCTATCTTCAAAGATTTGAAGGATTATCATATTAAACAAAGGTTAGAGTTATTCTGCTTGGCCTCAAAAACGAGAAATGAGAGCGTTGAGTTTGTCACAGAGGTAGATTTAAGCTCAATGTAAGAAAAACTTGGGGAGCAAGAGTCTGTTTCTTCCCTTTGGTGCTAAAGCTGTCATTTGACCACCGCCTCTCTCAGTCTGCCCTCCCTTCTATCAGCCCCCTACCCTTTCTACTTCTCTCCCTTCTACTCACCCCTCCCTTTTCTTTTCCCTTTCCCCTCCTATTTCCTATGGGGTAAGTTAGATTTCTATACCTAACTGATTATGTTATTCCCTCTT